GTCAGAGGAATCGCTATCTATGGCAATTATAGCCTTATGAAATGCATTTTTAAATAATAAGACTTGAAAGTTGAAATTATTCCTTGATAAATGAGCTGCAGAATGAATGCTGCATTAGCAAACATGAAAACAAGAATCTCCTTGTACATCCCCCTCAGAGTTCCTGGGTAACCACGCATATTGTCAATGAGCAATAGTATATTAAAAGGAATCTTTTTTATTCTGAGCAGTAAGTCTCTACAGTGAGGTTAAGATGTTCAGTAAACCATGCTATAAACAGATGTGCTGTCATCCAGGCTATGTTGTTCCATTTATAAAGCACAGGCAAAAATAGTTTACCATCATTCTTAAGGGCCTTAGGATTTTTAGAATAGTAAATGAGTATTGGCTTCAACTTAAAGTCACCAGTTGCATTAGCCCCTAACGAGAGTCATCCTGCCCTGCGAAGCACTGAAGTCAAGCACTGACTTCTCTTCCCTAGCCATTAAAGGCCTAGACAGTACCTTCTTCCAGCAGAAGGCTGTTTCATCTACATTGAAAATTTGTTTAGTCTAGCCATCTTCATAACGATCTTAGCTAGATCTTGTGGATACCTTGCTGCAGCTTCTACATGAGCACTTGCTGCTTAACTTTGTACTTTTATGTTATGGACATGGCTTCTTTCCTCTTACCTAACGAACCAACCTCTGCTAGCTTTCCATTTTTCTTTTGCAGCTCCTTCACCTCTCTCAGTATTCAGAGAGTTGAAGAGAGTTAATACCATACTCTGCATTAGGCTTTAGCTTAAGGGAATGTTGTGACTGATTAATTCTTCTCTCTTTATATAACCTATCTATCTTGTATGTATTTTTGCTGTCTCTATACATAGCATATATACATATACACATGTATACATATATATGGACCACTAAAACTTTCTATCAGCAGTGAGGCTGTTTGCTTTCTTATCATTCATGTGTTAACTGGAGTAGGACTTTTAATTTTCTTCAAGAACTTTTGCTTTGCATTTCTAACTTGTCTAGCTGATGCAAGAGGCCTAGCTTTTGTTTTGGCCTCTAAGCTTTCAACAAGCTTTCCAACACCTAGAAGCCATTTTAGGGTTATTAACTGGCCCAAATTAATATTACTGTGTCTCAGAAAATAGGGAGGCCCAATGAGAAGGACAGAAGTAGAACAGATGGTTGGTGGAGTAGTGTGTAGTAGTCAGAAAACACGTAACATTTATCTATTAAATTTGCTGTCTTACATGGGCATGGTTCATGGCACCCCAAAACAATTACAATAGTAACATCAAAGATCACTGATCACCATGCTAGATATAATAAAAAGTTTGAAATATTGTATTACCAAAACGTGACATAGAGACATGAATTAAACGCATGCTGTAGGAAATATGGTGTTGATAGACTTGCTCAATGCAGGGTTGCCACAAACCTTCAATTTATAAAAAAGTCATACATGCAAAACACAATAAAGTGAAGCATAATAAAATAAGGTGTGCCTGTACTAATTTTGTAAACTTTGAGAAATGTGTCTTGAATAACAATTTCATCTCCAAAAGAGGAGGCAGCAGCTGCTGTAAAATGCTGAAACAACCCCTTCAGGTAACAGTCAGTCTTAAGAGCAATTGCCTTCCCTTTTCAGTTTTAAATGGAAGAGTTTCTACACAAAGCTGTTTACATAAATATTCAGTTGTTTACCTTTGCACCCAAGGTAGAAAAGCAGAAATCTAATGACAATTCAGGAACACTAAACAGACACCAGCTCAAAAATGATGAAAAATTTAGGGAAAGACTCAACTATCTGTCTTATTGGCCTAATCCATTGGTGTTTCATAAGTAATCTGTTTCTAACAGTAAAGTGTCACACATTTTCAAATGATTTTCTTGAAAAGTATTAATTGTGTTGGTCAAATTATAATGAATTGATTATATTCCATTTGCATGCCAATATACTCCCTTGGGTTAAGCTTGAACCAACTATAAATATCCAGAGGGATACCTAATTCTCTGTCAGAGAGAAAGGCCCAGAGATGCATCTGGTTTGGGCACTAGCACATTACCTGCAACCTCCCATATCTGTGTAGTAGTCTGGCCACTGCAAGGCTCTTCCAGAAACTTTTCACTTCCCTATCAAGAGATGGAATCTGTTTCTACTCCCATGGAATCTACGTGTCCTTTGTAACTGCTTCAATTTAATAGAACATAGTAGAGTGATGCTGTCTGATTTTCTAAGGTAGATCATGAAATGTTCCTGTCTTTCTTTTTCTTGAGTCATATGATGAGCAGTGAACTGGTACAGAAGTCTGTACACCCTGAAGCTATCATGCTGGAGAGACCACAGAGATGCCTGAGGAGCCCAGCTGTTCTAGTCTTCCCAGCTAGGCTACAGACATTAAGTGGGCTAGCTTCAGATGATTCCAACCCCCAGCCTCTAGGCCAACCCAGATGAAGCTGAACGGAGCACAGATGAGTTGTCCCTGCTGAGCCCTGGCCAGATTGCAGATTCATGAGTCAAATACACATGGCTGTGGCTGACGTTAAGTTTTGGATTGGTTTGTCATGCAGCACCAATTAACTGGAACAGTTGCCATGTCTGTAGGAGGGATACTGATTGCAAATAGCATCCCCTCATCGTCCCAAAGAATAAGAGACAGAGCCACAAGCCCAAACAGCAGGATTACTTAAAAACCAAAATGATGGCACTGTATTTTACCCCAAAGGAGCAAGCACCACCTCTGAAAGTTAAATTTGACTTAGGATTCACACACCTTTTGTCACTCACCAACAATACTGATTAGTGGATATGTATGTAAATGTGTCAACTGCAAAAAAACCCTTTAATATTTTTGCTTTTAATGTCTTCAAAGGATCTGTGATGCAGGTTAATAGCCTCTGTTTAACAAAATTTACTCAATTACGGTATCCACCTCTAGTTTTAGGCTGTAATTTATGTTGGTGCCTATACATTGATAGCAGGTGTCTTCAAATTCAGTGGAACTGAAATAACATCACTGGGGTCTACATATTATTATCTGCTATTGGTTATTAGTGGAAAACAATCAGATTTTAGAGCTAAATAAATCCCTGATCACTTACTGTGTAACCCTAGACAAGCTACATAACTTTTATTAATCTGTAAAATGGAAATAATGCCCACCTATTTACAGGGTGGTCACAGAATTAAATGAGCCATTATATTTAAATACTTAGAAGGCCTCATATATAACAGACAATCAACAAGTTTCTTTTCCTTGGCACTCTTGGCCTTTTTCATTGAATGACACGCTGAAGAAGAATGAAAGACCCTGGGCTTGCCCCAGCTAAAAGAAGCCTTCCCAAGAAAGTCAGGTTCTGCTTCCTGTCCATGAGTGATACTCCAACACCTGGAAGTGGGCCTCCAACCTACACTGGGAACTTCAACCAGAGCAGCTACTGGGGCCCCTCTGGTTTTCACTGTTTATTGTAGTTACTGTTTTAATGGAAAATATTTGAGAAAATTTAACTCTGCATCCCAGCTATCACTTTTTCTTTTGTTATCATGCATCTTCACCAGCAAAGAACTAATGTAGTGTTTCATTTTATTTTTGGAGGGGAGCAGGGTGGAGTCTTGCTGTGTCACCCAGGCTGGAGTGCAGTGGTGCAATCTCAGCTCACTGTAGCCCCAGTCTCCCAGGTTCAAGAGATTCTAGTGCCTCTGCCTCCTGAATAGCTGGGATTTCAGGTGCACACCACCACACTTGGCTAATTTTTGTATTTTTGGTAGAGACAGGGTTTCACCATGTTGGCCAGGCTGTTCTCAAACTCTTGGCCTCAATTGATCCACTCACCTCGGCCTCCCAAAGTGCTGGAATTATAGGCATGAGCCACTGAGTCCAGCCTGTTTTGTTTGAAATAGGAGGTCATTGAAAACTTTATGCCAGAGAGGCATCTGACCTGAATTACTGGCCAGCTATATTAAGGAAGCAAAAAATTAACAGGTAACCTATGGATTTTAGATGTTTGGCCAATAACCTCAATATATGAGCAGACAAAGTGACATTATGGGAAGAACAGAGAATCAGCAGTCCCTCTGGATATTTTTATTTGGTTCAAGCCTAACCTCTAAGTGAACAATAAAGCTTCCTGAAGTAGACAAAGCATGTGACTGAGAACCTAAGACCTGCCTCAAATTTGCTATGGATCTTAGAAAGCAACTTTGTAGGCCTTTGTTTCTTCACCTAAGAAATTATGAGATTAGAGTAGATGATCAAACCATGTGATGACCAAAAGGCCTTAAGATCATCTAGTCCAGTGCTCTCATTTGACCGGTGAGAAGTGAGGCCAAGAACAACTTAATGGCTTTCTTGGTGTCACAGCCCCCGCAGTCAATAGACTTGGGACTGGCATCCAAGGTTTACAGGCAGTACAGATCCTCTTTCTACAAAGCCTTACCTGTCTCTAAAATAATTTGATTCTGAAGGTAATAAGGAAGGAGCACAATATGCATTTCTATTCAGCTTAATTTAAAATGATTCAAGAGGTCAAATATTTATTTCCTAATTTCCAAGCTAACTTTCTTATGAAAGAAACTATCTTGTACTATCTTGTAACTATCTTGGACAAGGGCCCATCCTTACTAAGGCCATCATTCTCCAGACCTGAAAAAGCAATGTAAGTGCTTTTCACTTGATATATTCAAAACAGAGTGGATGAATTTTATCATCAGTGATGTCCCTTGCAAGTGCCAGGTACCCAACAGAAAAATGACAGACTTCTGTGCTCTTTAACCTATGAGTGACAAAGTTACTGTTATACTATGTGCCAACCAAGTTTCAGACCCAAGCAAAGGTGTGGGGCAAAACTTCTGGCAAGGCTAAGTCTTTATCCATCCACCTGATATTAGTATTGCTTAATTCTTCCTCTCCAGGGAACAGATAAGTTCTTTAAGGTTCACAGGTCTGACTGATTCACCACAGAGTGATTATATTCAAGAATCCCCATATGCCCAAAGCAAGATACCTGCCTAGGTGAACAGGGAGTAAAGTTTCTCAGCCCAGCCACTCTAGAAATCTGGAGCAAGGGGCAAAGGAAATGTCTGTTATTCAAATTAACATAACATTGACCTTGATATACATGACCTTAATTAAGAACTAAACTGGAATTTAAACATTTGAATGCTGCACTGAGGTATCACAGAAATTAAGGCCAAATGTGGAAATTGAAACAATGAGAAAGATAAAGGAGGCCTATAACCAGGAAATACACTGACGTAATGGAAATGAGCCAGCCTGCAGTGGAGGACAAGGGGAGCCTGAGGGAGGCAACCTTGATACAAGGTTGGCATATTTTTATCTGCTGGGGAGACAATGAGGGGCGTATTTAGGAACAAGGGTGGAGATAGTCTGGTCTACCAGACAGATAACTCCTTGCCAGGTAGGTTCTAATATAGCCTGAATGTAAACTTCTTTTTAAGAAAGTTAACTCTTTGTCTGTGGTTCCACACTTTCAAAATGAGATTCTCTTCCCATCAGAGGTCTCACACAAGTCTTCCCATCTGAGACATGTGGGAGTGAAGGAAAAGGCTAGAGAAAGCAGTCTTTTCTGTGCTGTCCAACACAACATGGCAGCCACTCCACAGGTGGTTACTGAGTGCTTAAAACATGGCTAGTGTCAATCAGGAATTGAATTGTATTTTAAATTTTATTTAATTTTAATTAAAGTTAAATTTAAATTTAGAAATGGACACTGATTCAGTTACTGGACAACTGATTTGTATGTTTGGAATGACTTGGGTATGTGAATCTACTTTTTCTACTGTAAGTTTTAATCTAAGTACAGATCAAGTACTGTCCATGAAACTTCAGTGTCCCAATTGAGATGTGCGATAAATGTAAAATATGCTGCTTACAGCACATCTCAATTGGACTTTCAAGACGTTGTATTTTAAAAATATAAAATATCTCATTAATAATTCATTATATTAATTATAGTCAGCACTCCATATCCATGGGTTCTGCATATGCAACCAACTGCCCAGTAAAAATATTTTTAAAAAGTAAATTTAAAAAAACAAAAAACAATATAGATAATACGGTACCACAATTATTTACATAGCATTTACATTGTATTAGGTATTTTAAGTTATCTAAAGATGATTTAAAATATATGAGAGGATATGCACATGTTATATGCAAATACCTCATCATTTTATATAAGGGACTCGGGCATCCACAGATTCCAGTATATGTGGGGAGTCCTGGAACCAATTCTCCATGGATACCAAGAGTCAACTGTACATGTTGAAATAATATGCTGAATATATTAAGCAACATAAAATATATGGCTGAAATTAATTTTGCATTTCATTTTTAATGTGGCTATTAGAAAAATTAAAATTACTTATAAAGCTCATACTTGAGGTTTATATTACATTTTTATTGGACAATGCTACTCTAGATTCTGGAGGGCCTAGATAAGAACACCACTTTTTTAAGAAAAGATTATAGTTAGTATATACCTGGGCTTCTTTATCTAAACCACACTAGGGTTCACCATGTGAAGAGCCCAAGGGTAGTCTTTCTTATTAGATTATATTCTCTCAGCAAATTAAAATTTGGCATTTGGTTTACAAATTTGCCTCAGATTAGTCAATTAATGTCAGTCAGCCAGCATGTGGTCAATTGTAAAGTAAAAATGACATTGGAGTTCCATATCAAAGGACTTGATAGAGGGAAACAGCCCTGAAACAGAACAGTGACTATACTTCAAATATTTGAGACTAAATATCATATCCCTTTAGTCTTCTTTTACCTGACCACAAAAAGAAACTATATAAAAAGGAAAGAAACGGCAATATATAATCCCAACATATACATTCTGAAGAAGATACTATTTTAAATACCCTCTGAACATGAGTCAAATACATGGGAAATGATAAATTTATATAATACTTCATATGTACAAGTAAAACTATCTGTTAAAGAAACGTTTCTTAAGATTGTGATCAAAAGAAAACCTTTGTCCTACATCATACTGACTGATAATTAAGTCTGTCATTATCATAGCATGTGCCCTAGGATCTGATACCACCCCCACCCACCCCCAAAACTGTATTCAAATGAGAACAGCATCCATGCTCAAATCATTTAAGTGAGATAAGGGATAGCTATACACCTCTCATAGTCAGAACTGGGTAATCAATTAATCAGAGAGGTTAAACAGCACATTCAAGGTTCAACACTTGCTAAAAGCCATTTATTTCCACTCAGACCCTCAGCTATCATTTTGGAAGCTACCACCAGATGCACAGGGTGTTAATGCGGCAGTAAGCCCATGTCAGAGGGTCCAAGGTTCAAGGTTTCACACAATTCGGTCAACTATGCTTTTTTACCCTATAAATCAGAACTTGATAAATACAGCACTATAATTCATTAACAAATATTTAATTACTACCTTTAACAGCTAAAATAAAGACATAATCTAACATAATATTTACATAAATATAAAATACCTACCTTCAAATTAAGTATCTTTTCCCACTAAATTGCCCTATTTTAAATCTCCATCTAATTCATTTCAGAGTCTAGCTGGAATTTTCCCTGAGTTAATTCAGGATTGTAAATTCTCCAAGTCTCAGATCTTCAGAGTAGCATAAGAGCTCCCCATATAATTTTCCTGAGTCAATCTGCTCTTTCTGTTTCCCCCGTTTTTAGCTTCACATCTAGGGTCTCATCTGCTCCTGCCTCTGCATGGCTTGCCTCCGTTCCACTGCCCACTCTGGGTTCCCATTCCCAAGCAGAAAGCACTGTAGATGCTGCCGTCTTGCTCTCCCCACTCTGTGGTCTTGTACCAATCAGGGAAACATTCCTATGGCAACCAACACACACCACCATCTCACTCTCCTTCCCTGAAAGTTCCCTATTTGCATGGCAGACGTTTGGCAAGGACACTGAATTACTTTAACTTGCCTAGCAACTACTAGCCTATTCCAGCCTCTCTAAAAGGGTTGGCTTTTTGTGGATTATCTTTCAAAACACACTCGGGACTGGCTGGCTGGCTGTGGGAAAGGCAGCTGGCAAGTCAGCCTCATTGGACACTGGCCTGGAACACATACAGCAATTGGGCAAACTGGAGCTGCCTCTTGCCCCAAGGTGGAAAAAATGTCCACAGGCTAGAGGCAATGGCATGAGAGTAGACAGCTCTGAGAGTCCCACCCTGGGCTAACTCCAGGGGAATTTTAATTCTCAGAGAACCTCAAATCTCCTTCACCTTCAGCTATAAGAAAGTAAAATTAATAGCTGCTTCCACTCAGAAAACCAAGCTTATCCCATTTTGCCATGTACTTCAGATCCTCCTGTTTTTATTTAACAGGCTGGAAACCAGATATTTCAATTTACAGAATATAGTTTATTCATATAGATTATTTTAGCATCAGGAACCAACATGGTCTCAAATGACTGATGCTGTTTTCCCTATTTTTTCCCCTCAGTGAATTCTAAAGAAATACTTGAAGTGTCTATAATCTAATCTGGGTACCCTAAGATGAAATGCTTCTTCTAATAATCCATACAGGTGAAGAAGCTTGAACAATGAATAAACAGTTTATTGAGCTTTTGGCTTTCTCTGCTGATAGGATTCCATGCTTGCCTGGTGCCCTTTCAGAACAGAAGCCAACAGTGGGTGCTTTCTCTTAAAAGCAGCCAGTGAGATAATTGAGTCAGGTCTTGGAGAAAAACAAAAGCTACTAGATAGGCATTTCTACTCCTACCTGCAGTCAACTATCTTCCGAAATGAAAGCGAGGCCACTGTTGTAGAAGCAGAGAGTTGCCAATTTAGGCCAGCAATAGAACTGAAAGTTGACATGGGTGGACACTATCTTTATTAGACAACTATTTCCTGTTGGTAGGGTGCAAAAGACCCACTTTTCTATCTTTGCAACTTTTGAATTTCTTCTAAAAAGAGGCTTCTTATTCACTTCCATGGCTCCTTAAGGACAAGTACAATTTTTGATTGCCATTTGCCATTTCAATAACACAGAGTAAGTGCTCAGTAGGCATTTGCTCAAGTGAACCTTAAATACAGCAGCAATAGACAATTAATATTAGATACTATTTTTACTGATTATATTTATAAACTAAAATTTTTGTTATATTCAGTGTTGACAAGGGTATGGAGAAACATGACATTCTTATACACTGTTGATGAAAGTATAAATTAGGGCAGTCATTTTGGAGGACAATTGGCAATATTTAGTGATGTTAAAAATGGACACACTTTTTTTACCAATAATTCCCTTGCTTTGAATGTATCCTACAAATATATTTATAAAAATGCAAAAAGATAGATTCAAGAATATTTATTACAGCATTGTCTGCAATAAGATAAAACTGGAGAAACCTAAATGTCAAAAAACAGAAGGTAAGCTAAATTATGGCAAACCATTGCAATGGAATACAATATAGCCATTAAAAATGAGATGGCTTTATACATACTGATGTGAACAGATGTCCAAGCTATATTGCTAATATATGGCACAACATATATGTATCCATATATAGACATATAAACATAGATGTGTGTTATATGTGTATAGGTATTATGTATATGTGTACGTATGCTTGTATACAAATAGAACATTAGGTCATTTCTGGTAGAATTTGTAGAGACTTAACAGTGGTTCCCTTTAAGGAATGATATTTAGGATTGAGACAAAAGGAAGGAAGACTTTTATTTCTATCTTATAGCATCTTAAAATGTTTACTAATTTTTAAAACAAGGAATGTTCTACTCATATATTTAAAACATGTTGATAACTGATAATTGCCTTTGTATTAGATTTTCCAAAACAAATAAAGATAGCAGGTTATTTTTACCATTCAGGGATCCATTTGTAACTAATACAGGGATCTTTAAAACCATCCACAGCTCTAGCAGCAAGCAAGAAACTACAGAAATGAAAACAGCAGGTCACGTAAATTGTTTATGTAGTTTGTACTTTTAGTGTGTTAGACATTAGTACCTCAAAAACTTTATTAGAAATTAGAAATCATATTAGGACTATGTAAATTAAGATTAAAAATAGAACAACTACAAATACACATTTGAATTATACAATAAGCCAAAAAACATATTCCTAATGCTTGAGTCATCTTTTTTTGGAGGTAGAGGGAAAAGATAAGTAACTCCTGCTGCTAAATTAGAAATCATAAGCCCTAGAAGCAGTGCACATATGTAACAAGAAGAAGAAAACTGGATTGAAGAACTCTAAATGATGTTTAATCAAAGAAAAATACAGAAAGCTGCAAATGTGTCTTTTCAGGGGATGATTTAACCTACAGAGAGGGACAACCGAAGAGAATCTTCTCTTCTTCACTAGCAACTCAGTAACATATAAAATAAATTTTTTTCAGTTTCCAAAGGTTAGAAAGAACAGTCCATTAAAAAAAATAGAGTATTCACCTTCATTTCCACATGTCCTCAAGTTTCCAAATATTCCTCCTACTTTTGTCTTATAAACTCAAGAGAAAAAATTTCCCTTGGTACTCATTATAAAACCCCAGAATGCTCTTGACATTGCCATTTTAACTGTCTATTGTTCTCCTAACTCCAGGAAATCTCTGAAAGCCAGACATAATGACTGTTGTGACGGTTTTCAGTAACAAGAAGTGAAGTTTCCTGTCAAAAGAAGTGCTCTCTCAATTTTCATCATATGTAAAACAAGATGCTTCCATGAGCACCTTCATAGACAGATGAGCTTCTTTGAGACCCTGAAAATGTACTACAAAGGATGAAAGAACAAATAACAATGACAGATGAACTTGTGGGAGTTTTTTCCTTTTAGCTATAGCAAACTGTGATTTATTTCCCAATTAGTACTTTCTTTTGTTGGAGACCTGGCTTTTCGCTCTAGTGCTGTCAAGAGCATATTCTAGATATTAATTCAACACAGGAGTAAAAAATTAATTAGGAATTGGTGTTTATTTGGAATACTCTAGCTCCTAGACTAAATAGACTGACTATGAAACATGTTTTATTATAATACTCCTCCATTAACTGCTTCAGGTCCCTATGATTCCAAATCTCCCATTCAGGTTGAGAGGCCTGTATCTTTAGTATAGATCTATTGGCCAAAAGGAAGGCAATATGTTTCTCAGGGAAGAGTCCAAGACCAGGATTCAGAAGCCCTGGGTTCAAGTGCTGTACAGTCCTTAACCTGCTGAAAGCATACTCACCTTCATCTGTCTCACTTCTTTCATGTCAACAAATGGGGAGGGACATATCAGATCAAGTGAGATAACATCGATACAGTTCACAAATATGGGATGCCAAAAAGGCCTTACCATTAACAAGAACCATAGTTTGCCTTTTTGAAATTGTGTTTCACCAATATATCCTTGTGTGACTCAGTTCTCTTACCTGTAAAATGGGAATAAAAAGACTCATTTCATGGATATTCTTAGATGCATACACCCATGCTTTTCATTGTCTGCTCTGATAAACAATAAAAATATTAGGTGTTACCTTTAGTACAAAGCTACTTATTTAGAAGTGTAGATCCCTAGTACTGCAGATGTTCAAAATGTGACAGCAGTATAACAAAGTGAAAAATTAGACACAAACATAAAGAGGGATGAGCTATGCCCAGATGATCTGCTTTGTTTTAACTGGTAGTCTAGTTAGGCATAAAGCAATAACCATTGGAGATGGCTGGGATAGGATTTGAACCAGGCACACAGCAACTCAAAGTACAGTAAGAGACAAAGACTGTACAATGTATTTATGTCACTTTCAAAGGTTAAGTGGCTTGAACGCTAAATGTGAGATGTGCAGAGGCACAGCCTTCCTCTGCCCTCTAGGTCACGCTGGTCCATAGTAGGTATACCTAAAAAATGTTTGAAAAATGAGTGGATGAATGGGTTGAACACACTGCTTTCAATACAATCTTCTTGCAGAATTCCTATTATAACACACACTGCTTGATATTAAAAGGTGTCTTCACGAAAGACAAAGGAAAACCCAAAAGATATATGTGCACTCATGCCCTAATTCATGAAGTAGTATTCACTATATCTCAAGCAAGGTACAGAAGTTGTTTTATGAATAAAGTCTAGTTTATGCAATTACAGGAATCTAAAGTTTTTAGAAGAAGTTGCCCTCTATCTTGGGCTGGAATCCAGTCACAGTGGAAATAACTAACTACATTCCTCCCTAGTTGGTTTCTTACAGGCAGCTCCTCTCTATGTCTAAGCTTTAGTGATGCTACTTATGTGTTAGGAAACTTTAATGTTAAGAAACTAAAGGAAAATGGAAAATCTTTTTCAGAAAGATGTAATGGTACCAGATGATATGCAAGCGATTTGGGGGCACATAATTACAATAATGCCTTACAACAAATTTACACAAAGGAAGATGTGTGACAATATTGAATTATGGGTGAGTTTTTTAAAATGGAGTTTTATTACAGTAGTTCAAATTAAATGCTAATAAAATATCACCAAGAATTCTCCTAGGACTACTTTAATGACTAGAATCACTCATAATCAGTAGGTAGTTAGGGTGCAAAGAGATGCAAGTAAGGCATTTGAAAATGACCCTTTTTCTCAAGCAGGCTAAACGTTTCCTAGCAAACTTATTTACACTATTCCTTTGCTCTGTGGGTCCTTTCTTCACAGATAAAATGAAGTAAACTTCAGACTTACCCTGGAGAAATTATTAAGAACCCTGAATTAATGGGGTACAAATGAATGACACTATTGAAGAGAGAATCAGGGTCCTGTCAGACGGCTGCAGCCAACTACATCTGGATTTATTTTTAATGAGTGTTTATACTCCACTGTTCATCCAAGTTCTCATGAGAGGCTCTGTCTTTGCATACAAAGCAGGGGAAAACTGCTGAATGAAGTCAGTGTGCTGAATGGAACTGGAGAGTGGGTAGAGGGAGTGTCTAGTCTTTTTTCCCCCTCTTTAAAAATTTTTTTATTTTTGCTGTTATTTTTCTTTCTTCTCCTATCTGGTATTCTTTGATACATTATGACAGCTTGTTCAAACTGAGGAGCCTAAGAAAGATCCACCTGACAACCTAGACTCAAGAAAAGTGCATGTGAAAATGCTATTTCCAGCCAGTGTACGATCATCGGACCTTGGTGAACAGAGTTAGTACTTTCCAAAGTATTTTAGAGGCTGCAGAAAATGCTAACAAACATTAACTCATTTGATACAACCACCTGTGGCATAGGAAAGGCAGGTGTCTTCATTTTACAGGCGAGAGGTTCAAGATATGATCAAATTCACACTATTAGAAAAAGATCCCAGCATCAAGTCCAACCTTCTTGATAAGACTGATAAATCTTGATAAATCTGATAAGACTAGTAATATCTTACTATTGGTTTATTTGGTGATGTCCCCACACTACAATTTCTAAGTAAATGATCTTAGGTCTTTTCCCACACCCCCTACAGTAAACTGAAACTCCCTGGCATCTGATTCACTTTTGCCTGTGGGAAGCAGAACCTCGGGGAGGAGAACCACAGGGGTTCAGGACTCAGCCTCACTGTGATTTCACAAAGGACTTAGTAGCTTCCAGGACAGTGATTTTTCAGGTGTCAAGTCCAGTTTTAAATGCATCTGCTTCTCCATTGGGGAAAAACACAGTCTGGTAGCAACAGCCAAGGCAAATCACCTGTACTGAATTTTTATTTCTTAGTAAATTTGAGATGTTCACTGGGACAGGTATGGCTAGGCTTGTAACATAAATGAGAGGCAACTGAAGAGTATTTTGCAAACACAAAACTTAAGACAAATGCTTAAACTACCTCCAAAACTTTGGATATTATCATTCCTTTCTTCTTGGAAAGAGTAATTCCATAAGTAATGCAATAACATGAAGGAGATTATTTTTTCAATGAACACATGGTAAAAAATCTGGTGAGACTACTAATATCAGTTTAGGTTTGGAAAAATCTCAGGATTGGAAAATCTTAAGATGATTTTAAGACTATTACCAATGAGTAGTTTCCACACCTGGAATGGCAGAAAATCCCAAAGGAGGGCCCCAGAAATCAGATAACATAGGGTAAATACTCTGCCAATACCCAGAAATCAGAGAACCTGGAGTTAGTACTCTACCAATCCCTAATAGAATAAGTACTAGAATTCTATTCTAGACAACCTAATAGAATGAGTACTCAAAGCCTATTAAGTCCATGCTGTTCCTCCCCCAAAAAGGCCTCATAATAGATTCTAAAGGATAGTTTTGAAACAGCTTTCCCATCTCTGGCTACCTAAAGGACTTAGTGGATTGGAAAGCTGCAAACTATAACCATGTGCTGATTACTCCAAAAAGCAACTGGAACTGTTCAA